ACGCACACAATCGCGCACTTTCTGGCATAGGGGTTTTAGCCATAGGGAGCTGAGGAAGGCCTCAGTAAGTCTTGTGTCCATCGGTTTTCTCGGCGTCACTATGCTCAAATTTTTCATTTTTCCTTAAACTTGTCCATTTACATCATTTCCAATAATATTATATCATTTCCACGCTTTTGCAGAAGCTCAAGAGTCTCCGACTAGATCTCATTGTCAATCCCCGACTAGATCTCATCGTCAGCTACAATCTCCGCCCTATATCGATCGGTTCTGATAAGCGGTTCTCAAGATTTCGAGGAAATTAGGCGACACGAGTCCCACCTTATATTCGACTCTTTTTAAAGAGATTCAGCAAGAGATTCAGCTGTTTAAATGATTTCCTAGCGAATTTAGACGACGCTCGGATTTAGTCGAATTTATTTAGACTACTATTAGAGAGAATGCGTTAAATAAAACCCTAATAATCTAGAAATTCCGAATTTTTCACGTCAAACTTTTTTTTTCTTTGAATTCAAAACATTTTTGGGTAAAAGGCAGCCGATTCCTTCAGCCTTTTCTCTGCATTTTTTTTGAGTAAAAAAGGGAGAAAGGAGAACCGAATGTAATCTATTTTAGCCGGGGGGAAAAGAGAGATCGACGAAACCCCTCCGTTTCTTTTGATCCTTTCCCTAAAAAGCCCTAAGGAGAAGTGCTTTTTCTTGAGAATTCCTCAAAATTCTACAAGACTTCAATGATTTTTGAGGAAAATTTTGAGATTTTAGATTTTAGATGAAAGGTGCAGAGAAATGAAGGGATTTAAAAGAGAATTGAAGGGATTTAAAAGAGAATTGAGCCATTACGCCATCTTTAAAAGCCATTACGTCTTTAAAACTATTTGAACATTGAAAAAAAAAATATGAATTTGCTTTTAAAATGACATTAAATTCGGCGCAAGGGGAAATCCTTAAACTTGGGTAATTAAACCGGGTTAGAGCGCTTTCCGACTCCCTTTACCTAGGCCCGTGTGCCAGACACTGTTTTTTCTGAAAATCGACGTCAAGGGTACGCACACTAAGGGAGACCGGGGTCTTTTAAAGGGCGCTTTTTGACCGAACGAACAAAGGGCTTGGTGGCCTAGTGGTTAGTGCTCTGGTCTCTAAGTCGTAGGGTCGAGGTTCGATCCCGTTCTCGGTTTTTGGTTTTTATTTCTTTAAATATAAGCTTCAGATTCTTGAAAATTCTACAAGACTTTAATGGTTTTGAGGAAATGTTTGAGATTTTAGATGTTAATAGAATTGAAGCCATTACACCGAAACTCGGGGTAAAGGGAAATCCTCAAACTTGGGTAATTAAACCGGCTGACCGGGCTTTCCGCCGGTCTTCACCTAGGGCCATGTGCCAGACACTGTTTTTTCTGATAATCGACGTCAAGGGTACGCACACTAGGGGAGACCGGGGTCTTTTAAAGGGCGCTTCTCGATCGGACAGCCAAAGGGCTTGGTGGCCTAGTGGTTAGTGCTCTGGTCTCTAAGTCGTAGGGTCGAGGTTCGATCCCGGCCTCGGTTTTTGGTTTTTATTTCTTTAAATATAACCTCCAAATTCTTCAATTCTACCATTACGTCTTTAAAACTTCAAAAACTATCCAAATCCCTAACGTTTTCTTTGTTAAAAGTTAAAATAAACCCCAGAAAAGAGAGATTTTAAAGCCAGTCATTTTAATTTTTCCTTTTTCTTTAATATAATCCTAGATTTTGCGATATTTTGTGATATTTTCAATATTTTCAAACATTTTCAGATTCTTGAAAAGAAAAAAGCAAGAGTTTCGCGAGAATTGCGCTCAAGGGAGACATTTTAAAGCCCCTTTCTTGTCCCTTCAAACATTACAACTCTCTTTTTAAAAGTCTACATAAAAATAGAAAGATATTGGAGCTGATGTAGCGATGAAAAGTTGAAATTCTTGGCTTGCCAATGAAATGAAACGATTTGCTGGTTGATGGCTGTGCTAGGGATTGAGATCTGAACGGTTGAGCTTGTTGCCGTTAAAAATGAGCTTGCTGTTGCTCTACAGTAATCCCAAGACTTCTACAGTAATCCCAAGGCTTCTACATTAGTCCCAAGGCTTTTACAGTAATCCCAAGGCTTCTACAGTAATCCTAAGTGCGTCTAGTGGGTCCAAGGCTGAGGACGGGGCTTTACCTGATCCTCACTTTTTCAAAAGTCACTAGCTCATTTTCACGTTCTGCTTTTAATTGACATTGAAATCGGCGCAACGGATCATCCTCAGGCTTGGGTAATTAAACCGGCTTAGGCGGCTTTCCAAAGGCCTTTACCTAGGGTCGTGTGCCAGACGCTGTTTTTTCTCATAAGCGACGTCAAGGGTACGCACACTTGGTGAGACCGTGATCTTTTAAAGGGCGCTTTTCAATCGGATGAGAAGAGGCCTGGTGGCCTAGTGGTTAGTGGGATGGTCTCTAAGTCGTAAGGTCGTGGTTCGATCCCGGCCTCGCTTTTTAGTTTTTATTTGTACAAAAAAAAGTACAATGATATGAACTGATGTTAAAGTCAATATTGGAGCATAGGTACAAGGTACAAGATAGGTCATAGGTAGATCATAGGTAGATCATAGGTGGATAGATAGGTACAAGATCAGAGTCCAATCAAATCACTTTTTCACAAGTCACTAGCTCATTTTCGCGTTCTAAGGCTTGATTTTGTATTGGTTTCAGGGCTTTAAAAGAGCCTTTTTCTAAAGTTCTGTCTGCAAAATGAGGCCAAATCACACAGCTGACACATCTCGAAAAATCGAAAAAAGGAAGCTAAGAGAAGCTAAAAAACATGAAATCGAGAAATGTGCTTGGTTGACCCTTTAAAAAATCATTTTTTTCAGGTTTAACATGAGATTTTGAAACATTTATAGAAAAGAAAAGAAAAGAAAAGAAAGGAAAAGATAAGAAAAGATAAGAAAAGAAGGAAAAGACAGGAAAAGACAGGAAAAGAAGGAAAAGAAAGGAAAAGATAAGAAAAGAAAGGAAAAGAAGGAAAAGAAAAGACAGGAAAAGAAGGAAAAGAAAGGAAAAGAAAGGAAAAGAAGGAAAAGAAAAGAAAGGAAAAGAAGGAAAAGATAAGAAAAGATAAGAAAAGATGAGAAATAAGAAAGATAAGAAAAGATAAAAGAAAGAAAAGAATTTCGTGTACTAGAAAGGATTCGTTTACAAATTTAAGCCACCACAGTTCAAAGGAAAAGCCAGTACAGTTCAAAGAAAAAGCTCGTGTAAAAATGCGCTTTTTGCCCTCAATAGTCAGGGAAAAGGGGAGAATTCAGTGCGCCAGAAGCGCGGGTTTTCACTAGCACAAAGTGCATATTGTGAGTTCAGCATTTTTCGATAAATTTTCTAGATTTCAAGGGAAATTCCGTATTTCTGGCGTTTTGGCGTCAATGATTCAGAGAAAAGGGGTGAATTGAGTGTGCCAGAAGCGCGGGTTTTCACTAGCACAAAGTTCATCTCTGAGTTCATCGTGTTTCAGTAAATTTTCAAGATCTCACAAGTGATTCAGCATTTCCAGATTTCGAATTTCCCCTGTTGACCGTTTGTAGTCAATCACAGGGAAAAATTGGAGTAAAAAAAGAAAAAGGAAATTGAAAAATCGCCGACAAAAGGGGAGGAAAGCGGAGAAAAATCAATTTTCGAGCGGTTGACGTATCTTTTTTGGATATATTGTGGATAAATAAAATAGAAATCTATAGAAATCTATTGTCAAAAATTGAGAACACATTTATGATCTGTGTGAACGATCGAAAAATTCCCCATTTTAGCGTTTAAAATAACCCTGGCTTTAAGCTAATCTAATCTATGGTCAAAAGAGGTGACCAGTGATCGAAAGTCGACAATGATGTGAGCTTTTGAAGCTTGGTAGACAAAAATAGCTCAATAATAGCTCAATAATAGCTCTCTTTTAATCAATTCGGGGTTCTTTGTGAGTGAAATTTGACGAAAGAACGAACGAACGAACGAACCCTTTCTGGTGCACCCTTTCTGGTACATTTTCGTTCTTAATTCTATTTTTACCTATTGATCTTCAGTCTAAACCCTTTCTAAACCCTTCAGTCTAAACCCCAGCCCTTTCCCCAGCCCTTTTCCTCAGCCAATTTTTTGTGATGGATCGTTTACTGCAGAAGAAAAGGGAATTTCTTTTTCTTTTGAAGGGAAAAAGGAAAGCTTTGTGAAAACACGGGAAATTGAAGTGCAATTTTTAATTCGTCTTTTTCACGAGTCAGAATCGGGAAATTGGGGAAATGGGGCTCTATACAAGGAAAAGAATTTAAAGAATTTAAAGAATTTAAAGAATTTGAAGGAATTTGAAAGAAATTTAAAGAAATTAAAGAATTTAGAATTTAAAGGATTTAAAGAATTTAAAAGAATTTGAAGGAATTTAAAAGAATTTAAAGGAATTTACAAGAATTTGAATGAAATTTACAAGAATTTAAAGGAATTTAAAAGAATTTGAAGGAATTTAAGAGAATTTAAGAGAATTTAAAAGAAATTTAAAGAATTTAAAGAATTTAAAAGAAATTTAAAGAATTTACAAGAATTTAAAGAATGGTTTTGAGTTGAAGAGAAAAGCTTAAGTGCCTAATCGTTGGGTGAATGAAAACATCTAAAACGGAAAAAAATATGAATTCGCTTCTAAAGTGACATTGAAATCAGCGCAAAGGGAAATCCTCAAACTTGGGTAATTAAACCGGTTAAAAGGGCTTTCCGACTCCCTTTACCTAGGCTCGTGTGCCAGACGCTGTTTTTTCTGATAATCAACGTCAAGGGTACGCACACCTTTTAAGGGTCTTTTAAAGGGTGCTTTTCGTCAAGGGTCTTTTAAAGGGCGCTTTTTGAACGAACGAGCAAGGGGCTTGGTGGCCTAGTGGTTAGTGCTCTGGTCTCTAAGTCGTAGGGTCGAGGTTCGATCCCGGCCTGGGTTTTTGATTTTTATTTCTTTGCTGATAGAAAACAGCTGATAGAAATTCAGCTATAAAACTCACTATTCGCTTTCATCGACACCTCTTTCAACAAAATTGTATAATTCTCGCGTGTTGCCAGCCTCTCGCTGAACATTTTCACGGTCCACTCCAATTGTTTTCCAATAACATTCTTGATTGTGTTCAACGCAAAATAGCACTCCGATCGAGCGCCATCCCTTTCCCCAGTCGTCGACACACCAAGCACATCATCGAACATAAAGTTCACGTTTTTCCACTCTCTCTCAACCAATAAATCATTCACGAGCTTCCCAATATAGCGATAGTTTCCAACAATCCTTGTGAGCAATGGGAATTCTCTTTTATTCCCCAATTCCTCAGTCATCCCAGTCGTTGTAAAGACAGGGACACCGCCATGCCAAAAAGTTGATAGTCGAGCAACTGGTGCTAATGAAAAAACATATGGTAAACCCATAACAGCATCAATTGTACCATTCACATAATGTTCGATGACAACTTGTGGTCCGATTGAATCACTTAATTGAGAGTCTTCAAAGATCACTTCAAAAGATCCACTCTCTAGCAATTGATGTCGATAATAAACATCTTCGACGGCTACATCAAAAACTGGTTTCGCTTTATCGATTGTTAAACCATAAGGATTACGGACTTTGTTCCCTTCAAATCTTGGCAAACCGACGATAATATAAAGTGGGAAGCCGGTTCTTGTTCCTGAGCGTCGCCATGTGATTCCTTCTGTTGGTGATGTGATTCCTTGTGTTGCTGATGCGATTCCTTCTGTTGGTGATGGCAAAACGCTTGTCAACGAGAGGAATATCGATAGCAGAACACTAGTCATTGTTCAGAAGATAGATATAGTTTATCATTTTGTGATGGATAGGGATTTGGAAAGATTTGGATTTTGCTTTTCAGCTGGAACTCGCCTTTGAGCTTTTCAGCCTTCGAGCCTTTCAGCCTTTGAGGGAATGGGCGGCCCCATTCAACTCTATGCCTCTATTCTCCCGATATCTCGATTTCTCATACTCTCACCAACTCCCAGTTCTCTAGATCTAAACATTTGCTAGCTTTTCTTCTATAGCTTTCTTTCTTTCTATCATTTCTTCTACTTCTTTCTCCTTTCCAGGCCTCATCAGCTTCTCCCCTCCTCCCGATCTTTTCATGACCAAACCCATGTCCCTATGCTTTCTCTCTCTCTCTTCCTTCTCTCTCTCTTCCTTCTTTCTATCTTCCTTCTCTCTCTCTTCCTTCTCTCTCTCTTCCTTCTCTCTCTCTTCCTTCTTTCTCTCTTTCCCTCTCTCTTTCAACCACTCAACGTGTCCTATATGGATTTTTTTGGACTCTTTGGGAAAAGTTCTATGGCTGTTGCTCTGTTTTTGGAAAGAAGGAAGAAAGGGAGAAGGAAAGAAGGAAGAAAGAGAGAAGAAGGAAAGAAGGAAGAAAGAAGGAAGAAAGAAAGAAAGCACTGGGACATGGGTTTGGTCATGTAAAGATCGAGAAAAGTTGAGTGGTTAAAAACATGGTTAAAATGGTTAAAAACAATAACAAATTGTTGAGAAAAGGATAGAATAAAGTCTTTCTATAAAAGTTTAAGATATTGTTTAAGATATTGTTTACGATATTGTATCAAGATTGAATCAAGATTGAATCAAGATTGTATCAAGATTGTGTCAAGATTGTATCAAGATTGTATCAAGATTGTATCAAGATTCAAGAAAGATTGCAAGTGTAAGAGTGAAATTTGGAAAACAATCTTCTTTTAGAAATCAAAATTTAGCTATAAAGGTTTTTTGAAAGGAAGATAAGTTAGTTTCTAACAAATCGACGGTAAATCCGTAGGCACAGGTTTTAAAAAGTGGTCTAGGGATGAGAAAGAAGCTACCGTACCCCAGCAAGAAGCTACCATAAGACGACAGAGAGAAGACAGACAGACAGACAGACAGACAGACAGACAGACAGACAGACAGACAGATCCAGACAGATCTATCCAGCTATAGCTCATTTAAGGCTGGGTTCTCTGGTTTGAAAAAGCACGTGTTCTTCCTCTTTTCTTTCTCTCTGCCACAAATTACCCCAATTTCTAGTCACTAATTTATGTTTTGTGAAGAAAAGAAGACGACGAATCGAAGTAATTTGTGGAATAAACAAGAGCTGAGTCTTTTGAGTTAACCCTGTATTAAAAATAGAAACACACGTCTTCTGGGGCATTTGGTTCTGTGCTTTTGGTTGCGGCTTGGCAGTACTTGGCAGTACAGGCTTGGCAGTAGGTGTCTGTCTGTCTGTCTGTCTGTCTGCCCTTCTGTCGTCTCTGTCTGTCTGTCTGCCCTTTTGTCTGTCTGTCTGTCTGTCTGTCTGTCTGTCTGCCCTTTTGTCTGTCTGTCTGTCTGCCCTTCTGTCTGTCTGTCTGTCTGTCTGTCTGTCTGTCTGTCTGCCCTTCTGTCTGTCTGTCTGTCTGTCTGTCTGTCTGTCTGTCTGCCCTTCTGTCTGTCTGTCTGTCTGTCTGTCTGCCCTTCTGTCTGTCTGTCTGTCTGTCTGTCTCTTCTTTCCGGGGTACGGTAGCTTCTTTCTTACGGTAGCTTGCAGTCCCTTTAGCTTGAGTTTACGGTAATTACAGTAACCCAAGCCAAGCTTTGACAGCTACAGTAACCCAAGCCAAGCTTTGACAGCTACAGTAACCCAAGCCAAGCCAAGCTTTGACGTTAGCCGCAACGATCTACAGTAACTTTAAGTAATTCCTCTCAAATCTACGGTAGTTTACGGTTCCTTTTTACGGTAGTTTACGGTTCTACGGTAGTTTACGGCTCCGCAACGATCTACGATAGTTTACAGCCGTTCCTAGATCACCCTTTAGCAATTGACATAGTTTAAGGCTAGATCGATTACCTTTTTCTGCAATAAGGAAGTTGATGTTCTTCACAAAAAGGGGGGTAATCTGATAACCACCTTTCTCTCTCTCTCTGAGAAGTTTTGAGCACAAGGAAAGCCATCAAAAAAGAGCCTTCAAGGAGAAACATTTTGAGGGAAAAAACTCCTGAGAAATATTAGAGTGAGAATATTAGAGTGAGAATCTGCGTGAATTGTTTACAAAAGAGTTGAGAGTGATTTAAGGTGAATGTACTTTAAAATGTACTTTAAAATGTACTTTAAAATGTACTTTAAAATGTACTTTAAAATGTACTTTAAAATGTTCTTTAGAATGTTCTTTAGAATGTTCTTTAAAAGCCGATGTTCTTGGATAGATTCTTAGCTGAGACTTTTCATCTTCTGTTGGCCTTTGCTGGCCTTTGCTGGGCTTTACTGGGCTTTACTGGGCTTTGCTGGGCTTTACTGAGCTTTATTGGGCTTTACTGGGCCTTGCTGGGCCTTGCTGGCCTTTGCTGGCCTTAGCTGGCCTTTGCTGGCCTTAGCTGGCCTTTGCTGGCCTTAGCTGGCCCTAGCTGGCCTTTGCTGGCCCTAGCTGGTCTTAGCTGGCCTTTGCTGGGCTTTACTGGGCTTTACTGAGCTTTACTGGGCTTTACTGAGCTTTATTGGGCTTTACTGAGCTTTACTGGCTTTTGTTGGGCTTTGCTGGCCTTTGCTGGCCTTTTAGTGGACTCATTTTCTAGAGAAAACATCTAGAGATCAAGATCTAGAGTTCTAGATTGTTTGGAGAGTTCAGTGCACGAGAAAGGGTAGGTTTGCGTTAAGAATCGAAGTCTAATCACTCAAAAAACTTTCATTAAAATATTCAAAAGAAAAAACAAAGAAAAACACCTGCTTTTTAATGTTTTATGAGGATTTTTTGATCTCTTTTCACATGATATCAAATTTTTAAATCATAAATTACTTCGATTTTTGTCTAACGATCATTTTGTAAGCGTTTTAAAGGGAAAAAGCTTTGAAAAATTTGATGAAATTGGGGGAAATTTCGATGAAATTGAGGAAATTTCGATGAGATTTGATTGCGGAAAGTTTCAGATTGAATACTGAACTTTTACAGTACTTTTACTGTACTTAGAGTACTTTTACAGTACTTTTAGTGCACTTAGAGTACTTTACAGTACTTTTACTGTACTTTACAGTACTTTACAGTACTTTACAGTACTTTACAGTACTTTACAGTGCTTTACAGTACTTTACAGTACTTTTGCAGTACTTAAAGTACTTTTACAGTACTTTACAGTACTTTACAGCACTTTTACAGTACTTTAAGTTACTTTAAGTTTATCTATCGTACTTTTAAGCTTATCTATCGTCTTCTAAAGGCTAAGAATAAAGCCAAGAACTTCTTTCCAAGATTCTAGAGCTTCTAAAGCTTCTAAAGCTGTAAAAAATAAGCTTTAAAAAGCTTTCAATCTTTTCTAAATGTTAAACAATTCTTAAAAGTCCCTTGGTTTCATTCAAAAACAGTTTTCTTCTTTCAAAAAGTTTTCCCATTGACTTTTTCCGCTCACTTGATCGGATTTTAAGGCGATTTGTTGAAAAGAATCGAGAAAAATGAGAACTTTTGAGAGAAACTAGAGAAAACTAGAGAAAACTTTTCGTTTTGATTGATCAAAAAGTTTCCAAAGTTTTTCCACAAACATTTCTGCAAGTTTTTATCGATTCAATGAGAGTTCGATAGAGCTAAAGGGAAATTTATGGTAGTTTTGGGTTTTTAGGCTAAAGTTTTCTGAAAGATTCGAGAAGATTCAAGAAGATTTAAGAAGATTCTTTAGAGCTTTAGAGCTTTAGAGCTTTAGAAGCCTCTAGAAGCCTTTAGAAGCCTCTAGAAGCCTTTGGAAGCCTCTAGAAGCCTTTCGAAGCCTCTAGAAGCCTCTAGAAGCCTTTAGAAGCCTCTAGAAGCTTCTAGAAGCCTTTAGAAGCCTCTAGAAACCTCTAGAAGTCTTTAGAAGCCTTTAGAAGCCTCTAGAAGCCTTTAGAAGCCTCTAGAAGCCTCTAGAAGTCTTTAGAAGCCTTTAGAAGTCTTTAGAAGTCTTTAGAAGTCTTTAGAATCTTTCCATTTCCCATTTGATTCACTTGTGTGCGCTCGTTTTGTCGGAAAATTCTTATTTTTGGCACAAATTGAGTAAGTAAACGGATTTGTGGAGAAAAAGAGGAATCAATTGTTTCAAATTGATTGAAATAGGGCTAGATTTAGAAAAACTGACATAAAAAGGCCAACTGGATAGGCTAAATGACATAAGCTATAGCCCATTCGACGTAGAATTAAACGCTGATTCCGAATCTGCTTCCCGTTTCAGCTAAGGAGGACTCTATCAAAAGTTATAAGTGCTCAAAGTTTCCTTAGGAGTTTTAATGTTTTTTGGTAAACAGAAACAGAAAGAAAATGGTTAAAAGAAGGAGAAGGAAAGCCAGTTTAGAAGTTCTAAGGCAGAGCCAGGCTAGAAGGCAGATCCCGACTCATAGGCAGATAGGTTGATCATAGCCAAATCAGATCCAAGCTAGATCGAAGCCAGTGTCCAGGCCTGTCTGGTGGCTACCTTTTTAAGGCCAGGCCTACAGTAAGGTCAGATCAGTTGGACCCAGGAAGAGACAACAGACCAGCACCCAGGGCTCTCAATCTGGCCCTAGCCCTAACTCCCAACCTCCCTTACTTTTAGAACTAGAGCTAACAACAACCAGAGATAACAACAGCTAGGGCTAACAACAACCAGAGCTACAGAGCTAACAAGGGAATGCTCTGTTAGCTCTGTTATGAAGCTAATGAACTTGTTCATGAACCACGTGGATCTCATAGAATCGAGATCACAAATCCGTTAGAGTCTTTTGCTAAACACCCTTCAAACGCGAGATTTTCAACTCTTTTTGAGGCTTTTTTAAGAAAATGAAAGGGTGAATGAGAATTGTAAAGAAAATAGC